TTTTTTTTTTTTTTTTGTATCAAGGATCGAACTCAGGTCCTTGTGCTTGCGCAGCAGGTGGGACAGATGTTCTTTTTACATTTTTTTACATTAGCTGAGAGGGTGTTCCTTATCTTTGTCCACCAATGGATTGTTCAAACCAGGATCAGTTTTAATTTTACCTTCCTGGAAGGAGATTAACTCAATCATGTATTACATGGTTAAAAAACAAGATCTTTAGGAGGGATGAATCTCTGTTCCCTGCCCATGCCCATCTCCACTCCCCTGGCACTCACTGAAGGTCAGTGAGGTAGGTGGTCATCCCCATGGTGAGAATTCCATTAAATCTCTCCTCTGCTCACTTGCCACCAAGACTAAAGTGCCACCCTTGGGTCAAGCATACTGTCCGTTGGCCTAGGTGCCTCTTACAATGCCAGCCCTCTGACAGAGATGAAGAGTGGGAAACCTGTGCCACCTTGATGTGGTCTCAGCTTCTCAGCCCCTTTCTCTCTTTGGAATAAATGAGCATCTCTGGGGCACTGAAACCAGAGTGGGACAAGGCGACAGGGCACAGGATCGAGATAGCCTGTCTGTCCCCAGAATAACTGGGCCACCCAGCTGTTTCACCTCCCTCACCACAAAGCCACAAGTGCAGCTTCGACTGGAGGTATTAATAAACCTTGCTGGTAAGTTGTGGCCCAGCAGACGGCATCCCTGTGACCTTTGAGTTGACTTTGTCTCCCTTCCTCTCCCCACCCACACTTCTCAGCCTGAGGCCCAGAGTCTGGATTTCTCGTAATCTGTTTCAACACTCACTCGAGGAATAACACTGCTAGTAAAAGGTAGACATCAAGGAGGGCAGCAGGTGGGGAAGCAAGCATCCCCCCAGAGCCTGCAGGTCAAGGTGAGTGACGATAGTGCTATTTTGTGCCCATTTCTTGCAAAACAGGGCCATCCTCTAGCCTGGGTTTCCCAGGGGGCATTGGTGAGCTATATTAGAGTGGCAGACTAGAGCCCCGCAGGGCCACCCTCAGAGTCTTGCAAAGAAAGCCTCTTGTCTGGTCTCCTACATTATAGGGACCAGCCCTGGCCTTCCTCAAATGAGGCAAGGAGTCCTTAGGACCACAGTACACCCACCCAGAGTCCTCTGTGCCCTTTAGACCATGCTCCATACAGCCAGGATGCCATAGCCCTCTGAGTAAACAGCCCTGAGCTGATTTCTAGGACCTGCAGCCCTCTTCCCCAGAAACTTCTTCCCAAGGGGGGACCTACTACTGATCTACATGAGGTGTGATTAAAATGTACAGTAAATGTTTAAATTTTTTATTACAGGGCCGGGGATTTAGCTCAGTGGTGCCTCCGCCTGTCTCGCAAGCACAAGGTTCCAAGTGTGATCCCTGAAACAAACAAAAAAACATTTTAATTACAGTAACAGACACATTGCCACTAATTCCCCTCAAAGCACTTCCCTCACTTTGAACACACTTATCTCATCATTTTTGCCACTTTTTGAAGCAGTTCTGGAAGTCCACTTGCATGAGGGTCTTTTTTTGCATTGTCACGGCTGCCTCAATGTCCCAAATCCATTCAAAATATTTACCTTTTGTCGTCATTTTGACTTTAGGGAAGAGCCAGAAGTCACATAGGGCCAGATGTGGTAAATAAGGTGGATGAGGACACACCATAATTTTTTTTTTCCGGAACCAGGGATCAAACTCAGGAGGGAGTCTCAGCACCACTGAGCTACATCCCAGCCCACCATAATGTTTTTACAAACCTTTTTGTCCATTAAATAGCACTTGGCAGCTTCATTCACTATATTTTTAAACCTGGCTTATAACCTGTAAGTATTTAGGCACGTTGTATGTGGCTCTATTTCTACTCTTGCCTCAGGCCCTGCAAATGTTAGGGACTGACCTGACCTACTGACATTTTTTGTTGGACTGCAGAGTATGTTTAAAATAGGGAGACTTCAGGGATAGGGATGTAGCTCAGTGATAGACTACTTGTCTAGAATGCATGAGGCCCTGGGTTTAATTCCCAGCAAAAAAGGGAGTAGTTTCATGCAAAAATTCTGATTTTAGCTTTTCTTGACAAATTGGAAGATTCTATAATCACAGTGCCTGAATTCTCAGGTGGCACCATGGAAGAGAACTGAAGGGTAGCTGTGTACTTGTGCCACAGTTTGCTACCCACTCCACCACTCCCAGTTGTTCTACGTCCAGGGAATTTCATGCACTCACAGTGCCTGCCTGGCCTAGAGGGATCTGAGTGAGAGTCCACCTACCCCGCAGCCTGGGGAGCATTCCTGTCATGGGTAGGATGCTGAGATGACCAGATGTCCAAGGTCAAAGCTCTAGAAGTTCAAATCCCCACTCATGACTGCCTCTCTGATTTCCTTATGTGCAGGTGAGGTCAGCACTGGACTTTGCCCCAACTTCTGCCCGCCACCTCTGCCAGGCTGATCAGAAGAAGAAGTGGAACTGCCTGGGGTCATTAGAAAGTGGAGAATGAAAGCGGAAGAGCAGTCCTAGTCAAGAGACGGGACCAGGGCACGTGAGCACTGCATTTGTTGCTCTGGCCCCCAGTGTCGTGCAGAAGATGCCCGGCAGAGGTCATGTGCCTTCTGTGGGGGTTTCTGGGGGAAACCACAGTGCTACAGCAGGAGTGGGGAGAAAAATCTCTGACTAGAAGGAAGCTGCCCATGAGAGGCCAGGCTCGGGCAGGGCTAGCTGCAAAGAAAGGGGGACCTGAAGTCCTGTGTCTTAGCACTGTGAAGGAAACATGAATTCCACTCAGCAGACGCAGCATTAGGAGCAACTGGTTTCTCTGCTCTGTCTGTTAGCAGAGGGGTGGGAAAGGACTGGACAAAGTGAGCCACCAAAAAGTCCAAACCCTAAAGGAAACTGATGAGAGATCCATTGGCAGGGGAGCCCTATGCTTTTAAGCTGCCTGCCACCTTGAGTGTGGGGCACTGGGCTGGCCCAGCTGGCTGGGTGCCCTGTGAGTGGGAGATAATAGGGCCCGCTGGTTTCCATGTCTCCAGATGGCATTTGCTCTGGGCCTTCTCCGCAACGGAGAACAACCTGCTCACAATCTGGAGAGCATGCGGCCACGAGGCATGAAAGGTGGGGGGTCCCAGTGAGCAGATCTCGGCAGAAAAATCAAGAAGATGCCCGAAGGGAGGGTTAGAGACGCTTCTGGGGACAAAAAGCCCAGCTTCCCCAGTACATGAACAAAACATAGAAAAGAAGGATATTAGCAGAGAGAGTCAGTTGAGCTCTCTAGTGGGTAACTGAGGCCAAGGACAAATAGAAGTTCCCACCTCCACAGAATGTAGACTGTCTAGGGACAAAGTAATAAAGAGACACTGGTTTCTTTTAAAATATTTATTTAGAAAACTAAACCAGCCTTTGTCTTCTCCCTTTGTGCTGGGTCACCTGGCCGTGGTGTGTGATGTGTCAGTTTGCAACTCCACCCACACGGGGGTGTCCAGCACACCCTGGTTGGCTCCACGATGCCGGGGGCCTTAGGCCCATTTGGCTGCTACTGTCCTTGAACTCAATCCTTGTCTCGGTCTCTGCTGCCAGGTCTCCAGATGGAGACAGGGCAGTCCAGCCACAGTCTGTGTGCACTCCAGAGGCTGCAGGAGCAGCGGGGATGGGGGCTCTGTGCTCTCCTTGCCTGGAAGCTCAGGGCTGGAAGCGCGGGGAGCCGACGTGGGGCTGGTGGAAGGCATGGGCACTGTACACCACCTCGGGGGGCGATGGGGTGCTGGTGGCCAGCACGGAGCACAGGGGCTCGTGGCTGCTCAGCACCGACGTGAAGTACTTCAGCTCCTCCGTGAGCTGCTTGATCTCCTTGCGCAGGGCTGCGTTCTGTTTCTCTAGGTCTTCACTCTCCTGTAAGAGGCATGACAGTTATCAGCCATCAGCGTCAGGGAGGGTGGCAAAGTTGGCCAGGCAGGGAGAGGCACACAGGAAGCCAGGTTTGTTTTGCACAGCCATGGAGAAGGGTGTCAGAGAATTTGTGTGTGTGTGTGTGTGTGTGTGTGTGTGCTTGTATGCAGGCATGGGTGCATCCACATACGTACATATATGAGTGCACATGTGTATGCCTAGAGAGTAAGCTGAACCATATGAAACTGCTGATAGTTGTCCATTTTGACCTGTAAAAGTAGCAATTTCACATAGTTCAATCTGCCTTAGTCCATGTTATCACTTTGTGATAGCAATAGAATACCCAGAGGCTGGGTAATATATAGAAAACAGGTTTATTTACTTTGCAGTGCTGCAAGTTCAAGGACATGGCACCAGTATCTGTGTGGCTTCTGGTGAAGGCCATATGCTTCTCCATACTTGATGGAAAAGAGGAAAGGCAAGAGAGTGAGTGGGAAGGAGGCTTGTAAGAGAGAGGGGCAGCCCTAGTTTCTCTTTATAATAACCATCCTCGTGCTAACACACTCAGTCCCGTGAGAAAGGCATTAATCCCTCTTGAGGACCTGATCACCTCTAGAAGGCACCACTACCTCTCAACACTGTGGGTATGGTGGAGATGAAACCTCACGTGAGTTTTGGTGGGGACAAAGCATATGGGAACCTCACTGAGCTGTACATGTGAATGTGCTCCTATGCGCATATGTGTACAAGTGGATCTGAGCGTTGAGAGCAGCAAGCGTGTACCAAAGAAAACTGTCTGGCAGGCCAGGGCCTGAGAAAAGCAGTTTTTGTAAGAGCATTTTACACCAACTTCCACTGTGGAACACCATGTGTTCTCCAAATGCTTCTGCGCTTTGCATTTAGTCTTACAGATGGAGTCCAGGGTTAATCATTGGCTCCATCCAGATTCTGGAACACTTAGGGTCTTTATAAATATTAAAGGGTCAAAGACAGCCACAGTGTTCTATTCCACTCCCTCTGCCTACCTAAGGGTGGGTTTTCCATGTAGACCCCACATCATCATCCTTGGGGACGTGTGCTAAGATGTTCCTAAAACCTAGTGCATACTGTTTAGTACCCAGCAGCACTATAGATAGTATCCAAGATATACCATGTTTTCCCTGTACCCATGATAAAATTTAACTTATAAGCTAGACACAGTAAGAGATTAATGATAATTAATAATACAAGAGAACAATTATAACAATATGCTGTACTGAAATTATCTAAAATGTATGCATTGTATATTTCTGGAATTTTCCATTTAGTATCTTCAGATCACCGTTGACTGCTTGTTGAAGCTTGTGAAGGGGGACTCCTGTACTCTCGGTGTATTCAAAGCCTATGTAGAAACATAGAGCCCCTAGTGGGGAATTTAGCTCAATGGTGCTGCGCCTGCCTCTCAAGCACAAACATCCTGAGTTTGATCCCCGGTACCGAAAAGAAAGAAAGAAAGAAACACAGAGCCCCCTTTTCTCCAGAAAAATCTTTCTCCTGTTGCTCAGGAGAAACTTCAGATTCGTGTTCATCAAAAAAAGAGTAAGGAGAGCCGATTCCTGTTCACATTATTTATTAATCAACAGTTGCACTTGGGTAATTAGCAGTTGCTGGAAAATAATCCCACCTTCAGAAAGCACAGCAAATTGCATTTCCCGTGTGATTGGAAAGTTCGCATTCTGTGACCCAACCTGGGAACCTACTCTGCTAGATGCTGGTGCCCACCAGGGCAGGGGAAATGGCATGAGATTAAATAGCATTTCTTCTCAAAAACCTATCTGGTATTTGGAGACCAGGTCTTACTTTTTCAATTCTAGTTGGTTTCCAAAACTCAACACATCATTAGAATTAATTCGAGGGCTACAGTTACAACCCTTCCTAAATCTAAAGGCTGGAATTTAGTAGGTTTGTAATTTGGGTGAGGGAGTGGAGGGTCTGGAAATCTGAGTTTTTAGTAAGCGTTTCTGGTCATTTTAATGACCAAGCAAGTTTGAAAAACCCTGGTTAAATATGACATTAAATTTATTTTAATTATTCAGGCACTTATTAAATGCCTATTTAAATTCCTGGCACATCATATGAACCCAAATGTTTGTCGACTGACTGACTGCCTGCCTGATGACATCAACTGTTGCCATAAAGAAGTTGACTCAAAAATATGGTGGGCAGTGAGCAGATGTAAGATAACTTGACATTTAAATTTGCTTTGAATAATCCATGGGGATCATGAGCAGCAGGCTGATGAGAGAGCTAGATGGGACTTATCAGGTACACTGCCAATCATCGGATCCCAGAACCCCAGGGGTTTCTGTTCTCAGTGGTAGAGGAGCATGGGGCTGTGGCCTTGACCACCCAGCGGGCTCCCATCTCTTTTGCAAGACAGATCTAAACACGCTCCGGCTCAGCCAGCCATCTCCTGTGCATGGCTCTGAGTAGCAATCGAGTCCAGGTCACTGCAAAGGCAATCTCATCTCTAGATGGCACAGGGGATGCTGGGAGCTGCGCTGCTGGAGTCTGAGCTGGTTGGAGTTTCTTTGTGGCTCTGCCAGCCTGCTCTTTTGGATGCTTCCTGGCACATCCCAGAAGGAGGGCAACCCCCCTCCTTACCAAAAGGTACGACAAGCAACAACATGAGACTTGGGGGTGTTGGTAAGACAAGAACTGGGGCCCAGGAGTCCTGGCCCCTTCCTCGAGCCCATTTCCTTGCCCCCTCTGAGAGTTTCCACTGGTGAGAACATTTACTGTAATTTCGGTGCTCCGAAGAGCCTGGGCAAACCCCAGGCAGCAGAGAGGGGCGGTAGGCAGGTTCTGACCTTCTCCCCGCCTAGAGGCAGGCCCAGCTTTCGGGAAGTGACAGCGGGGCCTTCTCCCCAGGCCACTCCGCTGAGCCCTCTCTGGCTTCTGCACTGCCTCCGCCTCCCCGCAGATCCCAGAGCCATGGAAGGCGTGCACAACCGTGGCCTGCTGCCTCTAACCAGAAAACAACCACCAGTGACAAGAAACCAGTCTTAAGCTTGGGAAGCCAGACTGCTTCCTGCTAGGGCCCCCCCAGAGAGAAACTTGCTCTGCCTGCCCAGGGGCCACACAGGCGGCCAAGGCTCACGAGAGAAAGGGTTTGACTTCCTTTGTGGGAGGAAGTGGCTGAGCTGGGGCCTCATCCCTCCAAGCCCCTGCCTGCTCTGGCTCAGTCCACTGCGACCTGGCTCTGGGTAATGGCGAACTGGAAAGGGCTTGCACAGCTAAAGGGACATCTGGTAGAGGTGGCCGTGGGGGCAGCTTTTATCCAGAGGAGCAACTATCGCATCCCCTAACTTCCCCTAGAATTCACTGAGGGTGAGGAGGTGAGGAACTTTGGGAGGAAATTTGGTTTCTACCACAGTGGGGGAGGGGTGAACCTGCCTCTGGGACCCACGGAAATTTCTGTCTAGTGCAAGCTCCTCCTCTCCATAGCTCTCTGAAATGGACATTGAACCAGCTACTGCCACCTGTCCCCACTCTACAGATGAGGCCAACTGAGAGGGTGGGGTAACCTCTACTGCTTACCCACCAAATGAGCACAGCAGTGGCAGCAGCTGTTAGGAGAAAGTGGTACAAGTCATGTATTTTTGCAGAGGTTCAGAAACTTTGAGTGGTGGACCCAGAGGCCCAGAGCCTGGGAGGGGCCAAGCAGAGTGTGATTTGGGGCCCTCTACTCCTTCTGCCATGGCTGCCTTCTTCCTCTGAGGGACTGGGAGTGGGCACACATCTCCAGAGAGCACCAGGAGGTCCTCAGGACCCTGTGATCCCAGGAGAAAGGTGGGCCTTGGTTCTGGTGATCCTTAAATGCAACACAAGACAAGAACCCTGATCAGCCTCGCTCTTTGCATCTCAGGGCTGAGCTGGGGCCACCTGTCCTGATATTCTGCGAGAGGGTGGACTCCGGGCCAGGCCATCCTCCTGATGCTGAGCTGGAATCTCAACATGTGACAGTGGTAGGCTCCATCAGTGATCGCTGGGAATAGAGTCCCCCAACCTTGGTTCTGGCTGGGTGACCCTCAGTAACTCACTTTCCCCATTGCCTTACTTTAAAACAGGAAGACTGGACCAAAACAAGGATTCTCAACCCTAGCCACACACAGGGTCCCCTGGGCACCATTACAATACTGATGCCTGGCTCTGATATAATAGGTCTGGCTACAGCCTGGGCTTTGGGTTATTAAAGTCTCCCCAGGGATTTAATGGGCAGTTGATGCTGAAAAATCACAGAATTAGATCCCCAGGCTCCCTTACTCTCAAATACTTCAGATTCCGAATTGGTTTCTTAAGTATGTCAGCAAACCAGAGGCTCTAGCAACCCCACCCTGTGCCTGGAGGGAAGTGTGTGTGTGTGTGTGTGTGTGTGTGCACGCGCGCGCGTGCATGCACATATGGGGACTGATAAGTACAGACTCAGTTTATATGGGAAAGATTAGTAGAAACCAAATTTTTGAAATAACCTTACCTGACTTAATAATAACTAACCTTTATTGACTACTACTATGTATCAGTCCCTGTTTAAACTATTTTATGGCTTTCATTATGTTTAATAGTTGCAACAACCTATGTGGTAAATAATCTTATCCCCCTTTTACAGAAGAGAAATTAAGGTACAAAGAAGTTAAGAGACCTTGTTCAAGGTCACACAGCTTGGAGGTGCAGCACCAGGACTTGAATTGAAGCAGTCTAGCTTCACAATCTGTCCCTCCCTCCTCTCTTGCCTTTGCCTCTTTAACTTTGATGAAAATTGATAATTATATCCTCAGAGGGTTCAGCCTAGTTAGCTTTTCAATTTCACCTTCCCTCTTTTCCCACCTTGTACAAATCCACACGGCAATGTTTACAGTTCGTCCTCACCTAGTGCCACTTCTGTCATGAGCCACAGCAGCTTGAGGATGGCTAAGGAAATGCTTTCTGGGGGCCTGGGAACACTCTTGGAAATCCCCTAGTGG